CTGAACATCTTCTCACTTCCTAGCTTGAGGGGGAGTGTTGAGAATGAGAAGAACAAGACAGAGTCAAATGTGTGAACCTGGTCCTTCGTATGTGTTCCCTACCCACTGTTACTGTGTAACTAACTTTCCATTAATTAGTTAAGGCAGTTACAATTAGATGTAAGTCGGTTAGGATAGCTAAGTGTGATTAGATATCACAACTAATATAAAGAGGAAATCTACAATGTAACTACACAAGATTGAATAACAAAATATTCTTCTTCACATTGTTCTCTCTATTCTTCTTCTTCTTTTTCACTATTCATAAATATCTTCATGGTATGGTGGCGAAACGTAAAAGGAGAAAATGGAGGGGACTGGTAGCGGTCGCTCTTCGCTGGAGTTCGTAGATGGAGCAGATGGTTTTTGCTAATTGTTTGATGGGTGTTTTCAAATGGATTGTTTACATGTTGTTTTTGAAAAGGAACCCAACATTAAAGATGAAGATGAACAAGATAGAACAAAAATGGGTTATATTATTAAGTAGGTCGGTTTGGATCGGGTTAAAATTGATAATTTAAGTAAAATTGGTTAATTTGAATCAGTTTGGGGATTTCTGTCAATTGAGGGGTATAAATGGTGAAATTAGTAACGGCGAGGACATAAATAACTTTATTTTAATGATATGGTCATAGTCAACTAGCTAGTAATAAACTAAAATTGAGGGGCATTTTTGACCATTTCCCATTAATAAATTATAAAATGACATTTTTAGCCTTGTTAAGCTGATGCCCACGAAGAAAAATATAAAATCAAGGCCCAAACGAGTCCAGCGTTTCAGAATTAGGGTTTCATACACCTGGACTTGTCTATATAAACTGATATTCACCTGACTAGCCTCATTCATCCACGGCCTCCTCTGTTCCTCCATGAAATTCTTATATATTGTATAGTATAACTATTTGATTCATTGTTAGCTATTTTTTCTTTTTCATGTTTTATTTGTTAAATTTGTAGCTATTTATCACCTATGAGGAAGACATCCCAGGAATAGGAAGTGCCGTATGACACTTTAAACAGCAGCGGCGGCGCAGTTTCCACTCTCTTTCCCACCCACCATTGATCGGATTCTATCCAGTCTCCGTTCAATGGTCGGGATCTGTGGCCTTCTGCTCCGTCGTTGTGTGTGTGATTTGTAACGGGTCTCTGAGGTTTAATCCATTTTTGAATAATTTATAGTCTTATCGGTCCGATGCCACGTCGACGGTAGCAAAATGCGATGACCGAAGATGCTATGATTGGACCAATAACAAGTTTTAATTAACGTTTCGCATTCTGATAGGAATCTGTGTATGGATCTTTTTCAATTCCTTCACGGAGCCGTTTCGTGCGATTACATTCCTTTTCATATTTATAATTTATTTTGAAGCCAATGATGATTTTTATATAAATATTTGGAATTACCGTCTGAACATTATTGATGTGTGATTGACTATCTGAGGCTTCACTATTTTTTCCAATCTCTTCTGAATATTAATTTTCCAAGTCTTTAAATTATTTAAATTTATGACTTAATCAATTAATTTAAGTTAAAAATATTTAATAAATTGAGATATCTTGATATTAACGAAAGATGTGATAAATGGTTATGAAACTTGTTAATTCTATTAACCAATCTAGGAGTTTTGGGCTGATGCTACAACGCTGGAATAAAAATCCTTATTTTTACTTTTACTAAACCAGTAGTAAAAAAACATGCTTTAACCATCTCAAAATTTACCATAAACATCCTTATATTAACTTTTGGTAAATCTGTAGTCAAAAAAGTTTAAAATGCTAACAATGAATTGGCAAACAAGTAGTCAAAAAAGTTAAAAAACTGGTAAACCTGTGGTAAAGAAGAAAGATATCAGTAATTTTCTTTGGGGAAAACAGAAGAAAAACAGCGAAAAGAGGTGTATACAACGAGCTTAGACATCAACGAGGAAAATAATACTTGTTAGAGTATAACCATTAGTTGGTAATTTCCTCATGGATGGAAAACTTTAAACTTGAAAAACTTAAAGTGGTGTTTGGTCATTTAATTTGGCAAATATATTTGCCTATTCCTAGTTCTCAAATAGTATTTGGTTCAAGTTCTAATATTTGGGAAAATTTAAAAATTACTCTAAATTATTACTCTCTTTTTCATTTTATGGGACCTGTTTTTTTTAGTCTGTCCAAAAAAGACATATTTTTATATTAAGTAATAATTTAACTATAAAATGTCTATTTTACTCTTAATGAAATAATTTATAATTATAAATTTTTTTATCATTCATATTAGACCACAAGTTTTAAGTCTTTTTTTTTTAAAAAATTTTGTATTGAGTCAAACTATCTCATATAAAATGAGATGGAGAGAGTATATTTTATAAAAAATACCTATTATTCATTAATTTCAACTAATATTTGCTATGAACTCCTTCGGAAAAGTTGGAAAAATTACATAAGTGAAGGTTTTTTATTTAATAATTACCACTTTTAAGTATACTTTTAATTTATTACCATTTTTGTCAACTTTTAGCAATACTTACTTAAATAATTTTGTTCTTTTAAACTTAGCAAAAAGTGTTGTCATTCGCAACTTTTAGCAGTACTGTCATTCAATCAAATTGTTATATATGGTTAAAAGAATAATGTTGACAAATATAGTAAATATTTTTTAAAAAGTGTACACGCAAGTAATTTTCCCGGAAAAGTTTGAATTCTAATTTGAGTGATAAAATTGAGAAAAAAGAACAATTTATGTTTAGTGGGTTATAATTATAACTTAATCAGTGATAAGTTTGAGTATGCAATTATTGAAAAACATTTATTGCAAATTTTGGGATAGCTAAAGAACATTTTTTGTTCACAATTATAGCATAAGGATATTTTAAGTTCGGGTTATTCATGGTTTTACCCCATAACTCAATAATCTAGTATTGTATTGCGAAACTACCAAACTAACATAAAATGAAAAAGAAGAAAATGGAAACAACAATAAAGAGTCCAGCACCAAAACATATATTTTTTGAACCCTAAACACCAAAAGAGACCCTCTCTAAAATACACATCAAAACAGACAGTTTGCCCATTTATAACTATCATCTTTTAACGTTGTAGTCCTCGTTAATTTCAAATTCATCCAAACTAACATTACACAAATTTTAATGATAGTTCGTCCATAAATGGGCGAATCATAATTCTTTTTGTTAACTTCTTACTTGAATATACATCCCTTTCTCAATTATAAGTGTATTGTAAAAAAAATTTGATACATAAAATCAAGATTTTTTTCAATAATAAAAGTACAAAAAAACTAGAGATTTTTTTTTTTTCTTCATAAAATGAATTTTACTATTTATTTGCTTACAACAATAGTAAAAAACACTACTAAGGACGGGACAACATTTCCTCTTATGACCAATTTCTCAACATAAACACATCGTTGTGTCATGCAACTTGGAGCAATGTCTAATATATATCTACGACATTTAGTATTGTTGACTCCAGAAGTTCTCAAACATGCTTATTATGTTTCTCTTCAGATTCTTTTAGTAATGTCGTCCTTAGAAGATTCTCATCTTCTACAAATTTCATATTGATGTGTAAAGTCGTTGTACCACCGTCGAAAAAGGTTTTCCTCACCCGTGAAAGAATGGTGTTAGTTTCATTTATGAGCATGTTTTCTGTCCATGAAAATAATCGCATCCATCATTTTTCTAAAATAACAAAACAAGAAATCAAGTGAGTATCCAAATATTTTGAAGTGGACAACCTAATTATTTTACCTTTGAATGTGCACAACTCCAAAACTTACGATCATAATTTCTTGGAATCATCAATGTTTTCATTTTGCAATACTCTTTGCATTTACAAACATCTGGTTCAACTGAATATTTAGACTTTCCGAATTGTTGAGACATGACTATCAAATTTCAAAATTCAAAATATAAAGTATGAAAAAGTAGAAGATGAATGAGAAAATGCGGAGTGAATAACTCATATTTATGGTTGAAGAAAGAGATATAATTTCACGTGAGAAAGAAAGAGATATAGATTCACGTGAGTGGGGTTAACAAAAAGAATTATAGTTTACTCATTTATGGGCGACCTATCATTTTTTTTGGTGTGTGTTTTTAGAGAAGATCCCTTTTGGTGTTCAGAATTCAAAAAATATTCATTTTGATGTCAGACTCCAACAATAAACACGAACAGACAATTAGGTAAAAAGAAAAATAATTAGATACAGCGAACCGACACATTCTTTTCTATTTTGAGCTAAGAGCAACAAAGATGATTGGAGGGATAAATAATTGGTCATTTCGTCAAAAATTCTGTTTACACAAGTATTCCCTCCGTTCCTATTTATGTCATCATTTTTTATTTTACATGCATTAAAAAATTAAGTAAGTTTTACTTAAAAAAATTTTAAGTCAACTTTTCAATCCATGAATATAAATATAATTTATTTTGATTAATTAATTTGACCAATCAATATGAATTATTCACTAAGTTTTTCTATATTGGTCAAATGTATATTTTTAAGGCTAATAACTCACAAAGGTAAAATAGAAAAAATATTGTAATTTATGCATTGATTTTATGAAAAAAAATATATATTATGTACTAACTATTTATAGTAAAGATGACATATAAAAAATGAACGAGGAAGTACAATCTAACAATTTTTTTACTTAAACAAAATTAAAATTTAGAAATTCTAGTTCCACGACTCTCCCTAAACACAAGGGTACAAAGAGTACAAGTTTAGTTTTTTCTAGAGGAAAAAATATTTTCCAAATTGGCTGCTGTGATTTTATTCCACTTTCTTGGATAAGAAGAATTTCTCAGTATCCAAAACCAAAATTTTCACCTCCTAAGACCTACGTAAACAATGACGATATGAGTATTTTATCACAATAAAAATGTATAAATAGTAGTAGCAAGTATATTGTGATTTCATTCATAATCCAACTTAACTATTCATTTAAAAAATGGAAGGCACCAATAATGTGGTTCTACTGGATTTCTGGGCAAGCTCATTTGGTATGAGGCTAAGAATTGCATTGGCATTAAAAGGGATCCAATATGAAGGGAGGGAGGAAAACTTATTTGACAAAAGTCCTCTGCTTCTAGAGATGAACTCTGTTCATAAAAAAATCCCTGTTTTGATTCATAATGGCAAGCCAATTTGTGAGTCTCTTATCATTCTTGAGTACATTGATCAAGTTTGGCATGACAAATATCCCTTACTTCCTTCTCACCCTTATGATAGATCCCAAGCCAGATTCTGGGCTGACTATATAGATAAGAAGGTATGATTGTTTGTTTATGTTAGTAGTCATAGTATTGCTCCTGTAGTTTCTTGTCCTTCACAATCTGTTGATTTGTATCTCAGTTATCATATCATTTTGTTACTATCTGTTGTTTGTTGTACTTCCATTACATCAGAAGTAACCCCTCCACTTATGAGGTAAAGATAAAATTTGTGTACACTCTACCCTCCTCAGATCTCACTTTGTTTGGCTATACTGGTTATATTGTTGTTGTTGTTAATAAAGATGAGATCTGTGTACACTCTACCTTCCTCAGACCCCACTTTGTTAGACTACGCTGGTTATATTGTTATTGTTGATAAAGATAAGATATGTGTACACTCTACCCTCATCAGACCCCGTTTTGTGAGACTACACTAGTTATATTGTCAGACTATCTGTTGTTTTTTGTACTTCCGTTACATCAAAAGTAGCTTCTCCACCTCTGAGTTAAAAAAGATATCGTACACTCTACCCTCCTCAAATCCCACTTTGTGAGACTACACAAGATATATTGTTGTTGTTGATAAAATCAAGGAACAATTTCTCTTTTACTTTTACTGATTCCTTTACTACTTATGGATATCGCAGATATATAGCACAGGAAGAAGAGTTTGGAGTGGTAAAGGTGAAGATCAAGAGGAAGCAAAGAAGGAATTAATAGAAATTTTCAAGACATTGGAAGGAGAGCTTGGAGACAAAACATACTTTGGTGGTGATGAGAATTTGGGTTTTATGGATGTGGCTTTGGTTCCTTTCACTAGTTGGTTTTATTCTTATGAGACTTGTGCAAATTTCAGTATAGAAGCAGAGTGTCCAAAACTAGTGGCATGGGCTAAAAGATGCATGCAAATTGAGAGTGTCTCAAACTCCCTTCCTCATCCTCACAAAATCTATGCTTATGTCTTGGAACTCAAGAACAAATTTGGTCTAGCCTAGCCTAGTTACTCACACCACTTTAATCGAGGAAGCTTAGTAGCTCAATTGGTTTGTTACGTGAACTTTTTCCTTGAATTAATGTAGTGTACGCCAGAGTGAATTTACTGTGTAATTTATGGTGCATGTGAACCCATGATTTTTACCGAAATTAGATATTTTGTACTGTCACATAATTTGTTTGCATCAATAGTTGGTTGAGTTAAATAAATAAAGTATAAGCTCTGTATGTGATCAAGTTGATATTCTTAAGAGTTCTACAACTGAGGTTAATAGTTCCTTCATATATGTAAGTTTTGTTTATTGGAACTGAGAAATTTTGGCACAGAATGGGAGCAAAAGTCATGTTCCAACACTTTCTAGTTTCAAAAGTCTTGCAGATTTTCTAGGATTGTCCAAATAGGCTCAAATTACAATTCGTTTCGAAGATGATCTCTCATTTTTTTTTACATTATAATCATTGCTGCTATAGATCCCTCAACATAACATACACAAAAACAAAGTGAGGGAGAATTTTATTTTTCTTTATTCATCAAAGTGCAATAGTTACAGAACATTGATCAGTAAGCTCTATAGATTCCTACTTGGGACTTTGCTAGCCAATAAATAGGGTGGTACACGTAGCATCCCACGTTCACACGTCAATATTTTGACCTATGGAACATCAGACTATTGAACGTGGGATCAATAGGTTAGATGGAGACAACTTTACTGTTGCACCAAAGCTCCCTTTCTGACCTTGCTAGCAAATGCCCACAAAAAATCAAAGAAATTCAAGTTACAAAAATTAGCTTGTGATCACGAGTCTGTAGGCTTTTATCTATCAGGTTAACTTAATTGCATAAGAGAAGTAAGCTTTTCACCCTTGCTACGTAGGAGGAAAGAACCGGTTGAGATTGAATGGCAACGTGTAGAATTCTTCGTTTCTGTTGTCACCTCTGAAAGTTCTGAACTTCACCCACCAAGGCATGCCCCGGTCTTTCTTTGCTTTCTCCACATCCAATGTGTTGTCAAGAAACACAGCAACTATTAGCCCCACCATTGGAGGTGACGTGAATATAGTGTTGACAAATGCATTGAACTGCAAAGCAAAATGCCAACATTTCAGACCAATTTTACAACAGCAACAACAACATACCCAGTGTAACTCCACAAGTGGGGTCTGCAGAAGGTAGAGTGTATGCAGACCTTACCCCAACGTATATAATTGAAGCTGCAGGTGATTTAAATAGTACTCACCCATCCGGCGTTGGTTTGAACAAGACCATGACGAGCTGGATACCAATACTCATTGAAAAATTGTGGAATTGATATCCCGAGGAACAGTGATAGTCCCGTTATAATGAGATTCCTCATACAATTCAAATTTGTGAACTGAAGAAATGATAATCCAACAGAGCCTGCAGAAGTGAAACCAACCTTACTATCTGGAGAATATCACAAATAAAACTATGTTATCTGAAATAATAGCATACCTACAAGTCCAAACAGAACACAATACAGTGCCGCATATATCGGGAAAGGTATCGATGCAAAAACAGCCCCAAACTTCCCTGCATACAGCAAACAGTTTTTTTTAAAGTGCAGTTTAAAACATCTCGGTATTTCTGAAATTCAACATCAAATACTAGAAAAAATAGCAAGGGAATAAATTTAAAAGTATTCAGGAAAATATATAACTTGATAGAATGTGAACGTACTTACCAAGCATAGAAAAGAATATCATGAAACCAGCAGAAATTTGAACAACTCTACGACTTCCAACTCGAGTCAATCCAAGAAGTCCCACATTTTCTCTGAAATGAATTGCGATGGTTACTTCTTACCTATAAATCATCCCAAACTACAGAGAGGGCTATATTGTGATGCCTGAATTCTTACACAGAAACAGTGGAACCAGTGCATGTTCCAAAAAGTCCATCAAGCAAAATGCCTATTCCCTGCAAAATGAAAATTAGAACAATAAAATGTTTGTTTTTTTAAAAAAAAATGAACTTGATCAAAAGAACTAATAATGAGAATCTGCTTTTACAGTTACGAAATTATTGGCGACAAAATATTAGTATCCATTAGAAACTTCCCAGAAATGTTGTCTAATTCTCCACAATCAGAAAGAACAAGGCATAGCACACAAGAATTAATAAAAGCTACCTGCCATCCAATGCCACGGCTTAGTACATAGGCAGGAGGTGGAGTGGCAATTGCCAGACGAGATGCCGCCATATAAGCTCCGGTTGACTGCACATAGTAAAAGTCAGAAAATACTGTTTTCCATATGACAGAAAATGTATCTTCATCAAGTGAAAATAATAACTAAGACGAAAGCAATTGTATTGCAATGATCTCACATTATTCAACTTTAGAGGCATTCATTACGATTTTCATTGAGAAAAGATTAAAAGATACAAAAAGGAGTTCAAAACATCCAATCTAAGGAAAGCTTCAAAGAAACAGTCCAAGCACAGTAAGACAAATTTGGCTAAGTACTGATCGTCGATCAGCTATCAATAGCAGTTTGTAAAATATCCTCGTCATCTGAATCAGTTCTGTTCATTTTTGCTAAATGAATGAAGAAAAGAAGCAGGTCTGTTAAGTACCTCAACCATTGAGACAACAACTGCAGACATCATAGCAAAAGAATGCCCCGCTGCAAAAGTAGGAGGACCCCATTGCAGGGGATATGGTAATTTGAACCTGAAATTACATTGCAAAGGGAAGTTTAAAAACATTGGGGCACATCAATAATTGTATTTTAAAAGAACACCAAGCACTAAACACACCATGGAGCAGTAGAAATGAGATTTGCTCTATCAGTGCGGCAATTATGTTGAGTTATAGCATGTTTGCCATGGTACGCCCCACTAGCCGTCAGAATAATGGAATATATCCAGATAATGGAAACACAAATCAAAACAGGGAATCGCTCGAAAATTGGAAAATCCCTCATTGGTTTAACATTCTTTAGATACTGCAAAAATATAAGTGTTACTTGAGTGAACTCAGAGAGTATGAGTGAGGAAATGTTCCATTATTTTAAAGCACCACTTACTTGTGACAAGCCAATGACCAACAATAGCATTGGAAGCCCAATTTCAATGCAATTCCCTAGCTGCAAATATGAGCAAACAATTCATTAAAAGAGGGAAAAGATGATTCAGCTTACCGCTTGTTTTATGAGTAACTAGTGAGCATAACTCGAGGGTCATATAAATCCAACAATCTAAATCCAGTGAAGGAAAGTAAAAATTATACTTAAGATTTCATGGCAGAAATAAATATTTCTAGAACTTGAAGCAAATCTTAAACCAGACAAAAATCAGCTTATTAAATCTTTTGGTTATAGACAGCCGTTAGCATGCCATATTGAATTCTGAATATTTTGCTCCAGTCAGGAAAAATAAAGAGAAGACTTATAGAACTTCAAAAAGCATCAAACCAAGTTCCAACAATGGTGAGAAAGAATTAACAAGAAATAAGTTCAAGACAAGTGGCTTCCCAGTATAAAAGTGGCAAGAAATACTTACTGCAGGAAAACCTCGCTGAAATAAGCCGAAACCAACTAATCCCACAACAGGTGCCATCCCAAGGGGACTGAAAAACCTGTAAATGAGCAGCAAGCCAGTCAAGAATATGGCCAAGTACTTACTCTACCTAACTGAGCAATAAAATACTAGTACCATACCGTGAGAAGAGCCCCCAAACTTGGCTGTATCCCAAAATAATTTGAATGCTAGCTGCAACAATTAAAGCTCCTTGAATAGCTCGCATCGTATGTACAAATCTCTGCGGTACAGTTAAATCCTTAAACATATTTTTGTAGAAGATTATGGGTACAATATGAAAAAAAACTAAAGTACGGATCAATATATCTCAATTGATCTGGTTTACAAAACCAACGCAGCCTAGGCAGTACATAATTTAATTAGTGATGCCATAAGGATTGTTTTCAGATCAATCACTAGAGAAAACACAAAAAAAGGTATAATTTGTGCGCAATGAACTGGAAGAAGAAACATATACAAGCTCACTTGCTGAATTTGCCAGTATATATCAGTCTAAAAAAAGGACTAACATGGTGGCATAGCATTTTACAGACTACAAATATTATAGCCTTCAAAGAGTCTGCTGATCATTGAAACAAATCTGATTGAGAAATGACCGAGTTTCAAACACTTACTACATGTGGATCACTAATTCGTTGAAGATGTGAGTCGCTAATTATATAGACTATAGGAATGACATATGCAAAGGAACCTCCAACAACAGCGGGCAACCGAGTTCCAAACAGTGCTTGGAGAAGTGTATTTATTCCAGCCACAAAGAGTAGCGTTTGTATAACCCTTGCTTTGTCCCCCTGAATGGAGAAATGACAGATCTTTTTGATGAGTAAATAAGGTTTGAGATTTCACTGTTTTATGCTAATACAGAGATATCAGTTCTTTCCACTATTGCACATGGACTGTGATACATATGAGAAGATAACTAGAGAATCAGCTTACATCTGATCCGCCCATTAAGGGTACAAGCGCTGAGGGGATCATCACACTTGTGCCGAGCACTAATATGTAATTTTGAAAGGCTAACAAGATGGTTTCAACTGCAGATATGAAAAAATTGCTTTAGTAAATACACAAGGTGATAGTGATGACACTTCACACTGATGTTGTCTAATGATTAGCTAGACAGGACAGTTCAAAACAATACTAAGTAACAACAACTAAAACTACTACTACACCTCAATCCAAGCAATTTAGGGGGCGGGACTGTTCAAAAAGAAACGAAACGAACACTTGCATAACCTATTAAAGATTTTGAACTTTTCTATACTACCAATTGTTTCCCCATGTTAAATACACAATAATCTGCACAAGAAAAGTTTATATCTGTAGCAATATTTGAATAATCAGACAAGTCCCAATGTTAAATGGCACTAATGTGTCAGCATTCTTCTAAAAACCAATTGTTTAGAGATTAACTGAGCAAAGGCTTCATCAGCCATTAGA